GAGAATGTCTTGTGATCGGCTGAGAATGCCTTGTGATCGGCTGAAAATGCCTTGTGATCGGCTGAGAATGCCTTGTGATCGGCTGAGAATGCCTTGTGATCGGCTGAGAATGCCTTGTGATCGGCTGATAATGCCTTGTGATCGGCTGAGAATGTCTTGTGATCGTCTTTCAACCTTCACTGTTAATCTATCTTATAAGAAGACTCAGATTGCTATTTTTGTTTTAACTAAGCTATTTTACAGGATTGTAGAGCATTAATAGCCAAATATATTATTGAAAACAGAAACTAAAAAATAGTGAAAGCTGACTTTTATTTTTTACAACATTCTTAAGTTTGACAAATTTGTGATAGGTTACTCCATCACAAATATATAAATACAATTTCACAATACGTTCTTTTTTTGTTGATTTTAATTATATGTAAGTATTTTTTCTAGATATAAATTGCATTTTATATTTAGTGTGTTTCAAGGTTTGTTAATACATGCAACATGTACAGGCATGTTGCATGTATTAACAAACATGTACAGGCATGTTGCATGTATTAACAAACATGTACAGGCATGTTGTATGTATTAACAAACATGTACGTTGCATGTATTAACAAACATGTACAGGCATGTTGTATTAACAAACATGTATAGGCATGTTGCATGTATTAACAAACATGTACAGGCATGTTGCATGTATTAACAAACATGTACAGGCATGTTGCATGTATTAACAAACATGTACAGGCATGTTGCACACAGTGTTGCTTGGCACTGTTTTGGTTTTCTTTTACTCCATTAATATTTTTAGTGTTTGACTGCACTCACATCTAGTTCCTGCCCCTCTCCAGTGTTGATCTACAGCTCCTGCCCCTCTCCAGTGTTGATCTACAGCTCCTGCCCCTCTCCAGTGTTGATCTACAGCTCCTGGCCCTCTCCAGTGTTGATCTACAGCTCCTGCCCCTCTCCAGTGTTGATCTACAGCTCCTGGCCCTCTCCAGTGTTGATCTACAGCTCCTGGCCCTCTCCAGTGTTGATCTACAGCTCCTGCCCCTCTCCAGTGTTGATCTACAGCTCCTGGCCCTCTCCAGTGTTGATCTACAGCTCCTGGCCCTTTTTCTGTGTTAAGTTACAAACAAGTGTTAAGGCTTTTCTGAATGCGTCGAGTTAGAGCAGAATTCTGAGACTTGTTGATCTCCAGCTCCTGACCCTCTCGGGAGGCTTTACCTTATCTCTTACTTCTCTTGAAGCCGAGTCGCAGTTTCTCTGCAGATATAAATGCAAAAGTGTTTCAAGTAGAGGGGCTGGGGTAATGTGATCTGTAGCTCGGTTGGTAGGGCACTCGGCTCACACAATAAGTATCTGGTTCGATCCCCGATACTGGTGGAAGCATTGGGTGTTTTTCTTACACCTATTGTCCCTGTTCACCTAGCAGCAAGTAGGTACCTGTGTGTGCCGACGGGTGTGGGTTGCATCCTGGAAGATAACCAAAGTTACCCGAAATGCCCTGCATAACCAGGGGCTTTCTTTATAGTATGTCAACTGAGTCTGAATAAGTTGTATCGTGTACTTGTATGTTACGACTTTTCTCGCGTAACTTAAATAAAATGTCCTGGCTCCTAAAGGCTGCTCAACCTGCTGTCTAGGGGCATTTAAATTACGAAAAGGCAACCACTCTAGGGCCAGCATGTACCTTCATACAAATTATGAAGTATAAATTTAAATAGTCAATACACAAATAACCCGCACATAAAAGAGAGGAGCTTACAACGACGTTTCGGTCCGGGTTATTTGTGTATCGTTTCAGTCACGGTATTGTGCCTTTTTTGTTATTTAAATAGTCAGTGTTGTATAACGAAGGACAAAAACTCGCCTATACAAAAATATATATTAATAGTAACGTATATACAACCTATAATCTACTCTACTATAACATCACCTTTATTCTAATTCACCTTTAGCTCACTAGCACACTGCTACTAGTGAATGACACAAAATATATACTACATATATATAAACAGGGAGGCTCCAATGGAAATAAGTCACTCTGTCTGACTTTTTTGGGTTATCCTAGTTTCTCTACACATATGCTGCTATGTATGATAATTCTATGCAACTGTATTTGTGTATACCTGAATAAACTTACTTACTTATAACACAACTCTCCCCTTCTGCCGGTCTGTCTACCAGCAGGCAAACACACCATACAGTACTTTCCCAAAACTTAAACAGGCACACAAATAACCCGCACATAAAAGAGAGAAGCTTACCCTACATTTCCGGTCTTTCTAATCTCAACAATTCTCTCCGTTCCTTAGACATCAAACTTACTTTCCGCCAAACTAACACTCTTCGCATTAATCTCGTTCATACCTCTCCTCCCACTGCAGATGTTCCTGGTGTCTACTCTATTTCTTGCTCCTCCTGTCCTCTTCAATACTTTGGAGAAACTGGCCGATCTCTTTCTGACAGACTTAGGGAGCACAAAAATAGTGTTAGGCTTGCCGACACTAACAATGCTCTTTTCTGTCACGTCAGAGATCACAGCCATCCTATTAACTGGTCTTCTGCTAAAACTGTCTTCCCTACTTCCAACTTTAACAGTCGCCGTCTGGTTGAATCCTCCCTTATACACAACTTTCCTTGTGTGAATCGTAGTCGTGGCTTCGTCTCTGTAGATGCCTTCCTCTCCCACTACATTCTAAAATGCTCCAAACTTCAGAACACCCGTGACTTAACCTGATTCCTCCTATTTCTTCTTCTCCCTCTTCCCCTTTCCTCTTGTTCTCTTCTGGGTTGTCTTTCTTTCCTCTGCCTTGTTTCTGTTACTTCATCATTTATTTTATTAACCTCCCCACCTCTGTGTTCTCGCTCTCCTTCAGTGGGCACCCAGCTCCCTTGCAGTGCTCCCCTTCTCTTAGTATTTGACTGGCTCCTCCTCCTCCTTACTTCCCCACTACTACTTCCTTCCACCTCCGCTACTACTTCTACCACTACTACTACTACTTCCACTATCACTTCCTGCCTATATATACCCATCCTACTCTACTTCTCGTTAGTGTGACTTTGTAAATGGTCCAAGTCGGACCGAAACGTCGTCGTAAGCTCCTCTCTTTTGTGTGGGTTATTTGTGTATCGTTCCAGTCACGGTATTGTGCCTTTTTTTGTTACTTAAACAGGCCTCTGCACACTAGGGCCTTACAGGTAAACATGAGAGCACTTAAACTCAAATAATATTTCCTATAGTATACAGACAAAAAAAACTCCCCAAACCACCTACTCACACCACTACATCTTGTTCCCTCAGCTTTGCGTCACTGACTGAAATTAAAAACACTCCTCACACTCCTCTTTCCTGGCCACTGCTTAACGAGGAATAATTACCTGGAGTTTACCTGGAGAGAGTTCTGGGGGCCAATGCCCCAGTGCACGGTCTGTGACAAGGCCTCATGGTGGATCAGGGCTTGATTAACCAGGCTGTTACTACTGGCTGCACGCAATCCAGTGTATGAATCACAGCCCGGCTGGTCAGGTACCGACTTTAGGTGCTTGTTCAGTGCATTTAGCAGTTCTGTGCAAATGACTGCGATATACAGGCCAACCATCCCATCCCCTTTGCCTGTTCACTCTGTCGCATCTGTATAGGTTGTAACCTGGGATCCATATTTCGTTGTCCAAGTGATCTTTTATGTGGGTCTCTGAAAGCCGCGAACATTGCATTTGCCTCTGCAAGCAGTCCACGGATGAAAGGTATTTTGTTGTTCGTTGCTAGCTTTAGACCCTGTATATTTGCAAAGAAGAATGTCATTGGATTGGTGGTACTGGGGGGGACTTTTTTCCCGCCCTAATATCTGTATCTGTTGGTTTGGAGTGAAGGCCATCGACTGTGATTCCACTCCAGAAATGATTGCATTTAGTGTACGATTTCTGCCATTTCCTGCTAGTTTTTTTCCTTCCTAGCACTTAAAAACCTCTCTCTTGAGTGGCTGTGGCTTCCCAGGTTTTCCCATGGTCTGGATGTTTTGTATCTTTTTTCACCCATTTCAAGGTGAAAAAGCTTACAGGAAGGGAGGTTGCATTTTCCTGATGTCATATGGGCATGGCATTTTCTAGAGTGGTCAAAGTTGCACGTCCCATCTGTGTTTCTAGATATTCCATGCCTGCAGATACCAAATGCATAATATTTGCACAGGCTTAGTTTCTGTTTGCCTGTATTCCCTGATGTTTCTGTATTCCATGCTGGTGCATGTTTTCCTGTCTCATTTCTATCTTCACTAGTACTAACAATTGAGCTCTCACCAGTTATTTCTGGTAATTTATCTTCACTATTTCTAGTGGAATCCCCTTGTTTGCTATCTCCCGTGGTATTGTTAGTTTGTAATATTAGTTTTATCTTGTCCTTGACTACACTTTTTTCCCCACTACCCCTCCCGTCTCCCTCGAGGGCACTGATATGCCTTCCTCCATGCATGCAGTTACTGTCTACCAGGACAGCACTTCCAGCCTTACAGTTCCTGACTACCTGGTCAGCACCTCCAGTCATACAGTTATTGTCGGCCAGGACAGCATCTGCACCAAGGGCGATAGCACCATCCAGCCAAGACTTTTCATTTTCCCATCTGTTATAGAATGTTTTCAGGTTTTCTATGAAGGCCACTTTGATGTTATTCTCTTTTAATACCAATGTGATTTTAGTCCACAGATTGATCTCATTTGGGCATACCCAAAAACACTTCCCAGATTTAATACCTCTTGTAGACAATTCTTGGATATCTGCACATGGAACGTGAGCCCAATTTCCACAAAAGTTGCATGTAATCCATGTGGAAGCCTGCTTGTTTGTTTGGCTGCAGACTACACAGGATTTCATATTGTGATTTTAATAGTTAATTTACTGTATTCCAATAATAACCTCTTGTATATTCTACTAATAACCTCCTTAAAGTGAAGGTCTGGCTATTTGTGTAGTATGTATTTGTAATTGTACATGTATATTTGGACAAGCTTACCGCTCTAGTAGTTACTGCTTTAGTAGGTACTGTTTTGGTGTTTGATAAGGGTGCCTAACACCCCGTCTGTTTCTAGTCAGTCAGGGGATACCTTATTACCCAACGAATTCGTTTGAAACCGGTCAAGGGTTCGGAACCAGTCGAAACTGGTCAGTAGATCACTTATTTAAACATATCTGGTCGGTGATTTTGGACTAACATATGAAGGAACTACTGGAAAATTTATTTAACCGAGTACTATGTGATTAGATTAATACAAAAGTATAACTTGCATGCTTGGAGAACCGATAACTGCTGGCAGCTCCTACAATGACGAACGGTCGAGACTTCAACCCTTATTTAGTCTGAAGGTTTATAGATCACTGTATTTAGCTTTTCTAGATTTTCTCCCATCTCTACCACAACAAATGCTATGTTATCACTATAGTTGGCTGGTGAAGATTACTGGAGGAAAGTTGCTTTTACTGGAGTAATATTTGCTTTCCGTTGTGTATATTGTGACCGCTGCTAACTACAGGTTATATGAATTTCCACTGTATACGTCTAGTATTTCAAAAATGAAGAAAATTCCAGTGATGGTCACTGCACCCCACTAAGTACCATCTTGTTACTGGTTATTAGCTACGACAACACTGTAAAAGTTCACTGATATCGTATTTCTACAAAACTGTACACGTTTCGTATTTCCTCAAGATTTTGCAACTTATGGTATTTTAAAAATTTCCCCACTGGTATCACTAGATTATGTGCGAGGTACACTAGCAGGACAGGAAGATTATTAAAACAGCTGACCTGCGTAGTAGGTTTCTGGCGACTTCTGGCACCCGCCTCTTTTAGCCTATCACTCCAGTTACAGTTACAACTATTTTAAATTACACTTTAGCATTTATTATCTATATACTATGGTGCCACTGTAGTATACACTATAACACTATGTATACACAATATTATCAGGGAGACTTTCTTTTCTCTGACAAAGAAAAATTATAATATTATTTTGCACACGGCATGCTAGGCCTGTAGTATACTCTGCTAAGTACTGCACACTAATTCTCCTTTTTTGACTCAGCATATACTTTTTTCTCCCCAAGATTGGTTCCAAGCGCTAGGGTTATGTATCTTATAAGATCGCTGGCACATTTTAAAGTTCTACCACGTAAGAGAGATCGTGAAATCACGAAAAAACACGGAGCACAACGAAGCGCACGGAGCACAACGAAGCCTATGCATGCTTCAGAATATCTGGTTTCAGAATATCCGGAAAATAATGTTACATATAGAGTTTTATTTATAACATCTTTTTACAATATTTTAAATGCAGCATACTGTATAATATATCCTTCCCTAGACCACCGGTCTCACTCAACTAACTGAACCCACTCAGGTGCAACTAGTCAAGGAAAAAGAAAGAAATTAACCTTATGTCTGGGGAAACAAAATTCTCTAAAAATAAGAAAACTGCATCAAGTATTGTCTTGGTGCAATTTACTTGTACATAGAAAACCACAATAAACATTTATTAACGTAAAGCTTATCGCGACAATGAGCACTGCTAATCCACAGACGTAAAAGTAATCAGGTTTAACGCCAGATGAGTTCACAGTCATTCTTTATAGCTGTACTCGGAAACAAACAGGAAAAAGCACCATTACAACCCAGTGTTGGCCATACACCCACGTTGATGCATTGTCTATATATGACATGAAATTAAAGAGCTGGCTGGGGCACCTCTGTACATATATATATAAAAAGTTTACACAATAAATATATACAAGGAAACTTATGACAAACTGAGAGTCTCTCTTTTTAAACAGCATACGTGTTCATTAGCACACAACTCTGCTTGAACATATGAAATAAGCACTTCATAAAAATATATAAAAAGAGCTCCAGAAACAGTGCAAAAAAGTTAGTGTACGTATTAATACAAATAGAAAATACAATATCAACCCTGTGTCTCACAGCAATATACAATAAGCAAAACTGGCTATGCAACACATACCACTGGGAGAAATTGGAGAACACGAGAGGGAAAATTACCAGACTTCAAAACTGGGTAGTATGTCACATAAAATTAGTCAATGGGACTGTGACATTGAAAAACACACTGTAGTCATCACCATAGACCCCTCAAAAGGTGGACCTCCCAGGCCTTCACCCCACTTGGCGATCAAAAAAAAATAAAACAGGTGGGTCCTGGAGAAACACAACACACAAAACACACAGGATCACTATTCAAAGACCCAAAAATGGTGAGGCTTCACCACCAACATCGTACCACTACCTTTGGTCCAACAGTCCACACACCATCACAGGTGAAGCCCTCACCGCCCACACCTTATGCTAGCATGCCTTACCTAGGCATGTACTGACGTGACTACCACCAAAAACACACGCACACTCTTGGGAAATCTGATACCCCCTCCGCCAGCTCACTGAGCTTCAGTCCACTAGATGGTCAGAAAGCCATCTACTCACACACTGCAACCACTGCAAAACGAGAGCAGATAAATGTCTACACTACATTATGTACAGTGCACACGAGAAAATACATGAGCAACCATATTCTCTAAACCTTCACATAACGAATCACCAAAGTGAGCTTGAGTGTGGTTCCTCGGTACGTAAAGGAAACGTAGGACTGTGATCACTATACTGAAAAAAATAAATCACAATAGTTCTAGCTGCTCAGTCAAATTATGTTCCAAATAGGGAAATCAGATCAAACAAAAATGATCCTAAATGGATGAACAATAGATTAAAATATCTGATTGGTCAAAAGAGAGGCATATATAGGCAAATCAAAAGAGGAGAGGGGCAATTAAGAAATCGATATATTCAGTTAAAGAGAGAAATAAAAAAGGGAATTAGAAAAGCAAAAAGAGATTATGAGGTTAAAGTTGCAAGAGAATCGAAGACTAACCCAAAAGGATTCTTTCAGGTATACAGAAGTAAGATCAGGGACAAGATAGGCCCACTCAAAAGTTCCTCGGGTCAGCTCACTGACAGTGATAAGGAAATGTGTAGAATTTTTAACACATACTTCCTCTCAGTTTTTACACAGGAGGATACCAGCGATATTCCAGTAATGATAAATTATGTAGAACAGGACGATAATAAACTGTGCACTATTAGGGTCACAAGTGACATGGTCCTAGGCAAATAGATAAATTAAAACCTAACAAATCCCCAGGCCCTGATGAACTGTATGCAAGGGTTCTAAAGGAATGTAAAGAGGAGCTTAGCACACCTTTGGCTAATCTTTTCAACATATCACTACAAACTGGCATGGTGCCAGATAAGTGGAAAATGGCAATGTGATACCTATTTTCAAAACAGGTGACAGGTCCTTAGCTTCGAACTATAGACCAATAAGCCTAACCTCCATAGTGGGAAATTTTATGGAATCAATAATTGCCGAGGCAGTTCGTAGCCACCTTGAAAAGCATAAATTAATCAACGAATCTCAGCATGGTTTTACAAAGGGGCGTTCCTGCCTTACGAATTTATTAATTTTTTTCACTAAGGTATTTGAGGAGGTAGATCATGGTAATGAATATGATATTGTGTATATGGACTTCAGTAAGGCTTTTGACAGGGTCCACATCAGAGACTATTGAGGAAAATTAAAGCACATGGAATAGGAGGAGAAATTTTTTTCCTGGATAGAGGCATGGTTGACAAATAGGCAGCAGAGAGTTTGCATAAATGGGGAGAAATCAGAGTGGGGAAGCGTCACGAGCGGTGTTCCACAGGGGTCAGTGTTGGGCCCCCTGCTGTTCACAATCTACATAAACGACATAGATGAGGGCATAAAGAGCGACATCGGCAAGTTTGCCGATGACACCAAAATAGGCCGTCGAATTCATTCTGACGAGGACATTCGAGCACTCCAGGAAGATTTGAATAGACTGATGCAGTGGTCGGAGAAGTGGCAGATGCAGTTTAATATAGACAAATGCAAAGTTCTAAATGTTGGACAGGACAATAACCATGCCACATATAAACTAAATAATGTAGATCTTAATATTACGGATTGCGAAAAAGATTTAGGAGTTCTGGTTAGCAGTAATCTGAAACCAAGACAACAGTGCATAAGTGTTCGCAATAAAGCTAATAGAATCCTTGGCTTCATATCAAGAAGCATAAATAATAGGAGTCCTCAGGTTGTTCTTCAACTCTATACATCCTTGGTTAGGCCTCATTTAGATTATGCTGCACAGTTTTGGTCACCGTATTACAGAATGGATATAAATTCTCTGGAAAATGTACAAAGGAGGATGACAAAGATGATCCCATGTATCAGAAACCTTCCCTATGAGGATAGACTAAGGGCCCTGAAACTGCACTCTCTAGAAAGACGTAGAATTAGGGGGGATATGATTGAGGTTTATAAGTGGAAGACAGGAATAAATAAAGGGGATGTAAATAGTGTGCTGAAAATATCTAGCCTAGACAGGACTCGCAGCAATGGTTTTTAAGTTGGAAAAATTCAGATTCAGGAGGGATATAGGAAAGTACTGGTTTGGTAATAGAGTTGTGGATGAGTGGAACAAACTCCCAAGTACCGTTATAGAGGCCAGAACGTTGTGTAGCTTTAAAAATAGGTTGGATAAATACATGAGTAGATGTGGGTGGGTGCGAGTTAGACCTGATAGCTTGTGCTAACAGGTCGGTTGCCGTGTTCCTCCCTTAAGTCAATGTGACCTGACCTGACTAGGTTGGGTGCATTGGCTTAGGCCGGTAGGGACTTGGACCTGCCTCGCATGGGCCAGTAGGCCTTCTGCAGTGTTCCTTCGTTCTTATGTTCTTATGTTCTTATGTTCAATCAAAACAAAACAATAGCCTCCTTTTCTCTTGGGGCATGAATTCTCTGGCGACTTGTAAGTTTATTGGCAAATGGCTCCTGGAGTTTAACCCCAGCAAGTGCAAGGTTATGAAGCTTAATGAAGGACAAAGGAGACCGCAGACAGAGTACAACCTAAGAGGTCAGAGGCTGCAAAACTCACTCAAGGAAAAAATCTTGGGGAAAGCCTCATACTGAGCATAT